ATGATAAGTATAATATTTAAAAATAATAATAAAAAATAAAACAAACGGGTCAACCTGTCAACCCGCGAGTTGACCCTAATCCGACCCGTGACCCGTAGGGGTTGATAACACGGATTATCTACGGGTTGCGGGTTGAGATGTGTAGACCCTAATCCGTTTTTTAAAGGTCGGGTTAGAGTCGGGTTGACGAGTCAAGTGGATTTTTACCAGGTCTATTTCCAATGTAACAGAAGTAACATGGGGAGTTGGGAATAGAAATTTTGCTGAGATGATCAAGATATAAAATGTCACCTTTCAATTAATATGTTCCGATTGTAGCAAGAAACGTGCAAACATTGTAGAGTCAGGTCCTTTTTGATGGGACAAAAATTGGTGTTATGTGTGGTGCAGTATACATTTTCCAAGCTTTGGAGGGTGTGGACTGTCCAATGCTGTGGCTTTCGTGGTGGACCATATGTGGGCGACCTAAACAGACACCGACTTTGATCCATGTAAACTTGGAAAGTGTTAATAGGGGAAAAAAATAAGAAAAAAAAAAATAAAAACCTATATTATTAGAAATTTGCCTGCCATTACTTTTTCATTACTTTAAAATGTGAAAAGGATCTGAAAGTTGGCTGTGCATGATTTTGTGGATATGGATGAGAATTTGGTGATTCATGGTTTTCATGCTGCATTTTATTAGGCACCTCAATGCTTTAACTGAATCCACCCAAATTCAGAAGACTGAGCTAGATTGATTGGTAGTTGTTGATCTTATATATACCACTCATCCATTTTTATTTATATGTTATGTGGGTATCACAACTTCTCACATCTAAGTCTTTTTATCAACTTGTTCATGTCCAATCTTAAGACTCATAATTACACGATTAATATCACCTCAAAGTAATATCAGATTTATCAAACTAAAGGCAACTTCTCAGAGAGCTTACTTTAAAAAGTCACATGTAGTGAATGAGAGATCTAACGGTTTACCATAGATATTTGATTGAAAACTTTTTAAGTCGAGATACATATGAGTTTTAAAAACTTAAGTTTATATTATATCAACAACATATTAGTTGGAGTGAAAAAAACTTAATTTCCTTTAAATAAAATCTTGAATTTAAGTTTTATGAATCCAAAAATAAATGTTATGAGAACTTTTACCATTGTTGAATTTAACACAACTCAATTTCGAATTAGTTCAGACTCAATAGAATTATTGAGTTAATTTAAAAAAAAAAAAAACTCAAGTTCAATTTATTAATAATTGTTGGTTATGATAATGATGATATGCCATTTATTATATGCAAATGATTTTGGGATAATATTTTTATACCACATTTTAATATAATCTAACATATTATTTAAATTATTAATTTTTTTAATACACGTGAAACTCATGATATTAAATATATTTACTTATTTAATAATATGTAAAAATTATATAAAAAATTAATATAAAAAAATTATTCGTATAACACCCTGTTACTATATATCTCAATTACTCCCCAATCTGCTATTCATGGCGTCACACCAGGGATGATGATCTGGCTGTAAGCATGAAAGGACGACTCATAGAAGAGAAAGAGATGTTTAACGGAGCTTCTTGTGATTTTGCTTGGGTGGAACTGGAATGAACCACAAATTTGTTGCATCCACACAATTTTACATTTGGGGTTGATGAGATCTTTTTACTCACCTATCGTGATCTTGATTTTTTAGAATGTTGATTCATATCTATGGTGTTGTCATTCAATTAAATTCCACACACCATTCAAATCGATGATGATGTAGTCACGTAATGATAATCTCCTCCAAAAACAAATATCTCGAAATAAAATGTAAAGATTTCCGAAATCAAATGCATTCAGTCATACCGTGACACAATGATCTTCGTTAATCAAGTGTTCGATCTCGAAGGATTTATTAAATTAATACTGAGCTAATTTTAAATTTTCATTATTAAAACTTATCTATAAAAAAAATAATTTAAAAATAATTTTTTTATTTTAATTCATGATATTTTATATATCAATTCATTAATAATATAAAAAAATTATAAAACAAATTATCCACGTATTATAAAATATCCAAGTCCTGTACGCATATTCCACACATTTAATATTGATTCATGCATGGACAAATGCTATGACGGACTGAATGACAAATTAATGTTCCCATGGCATCCAGAATTCCAGATATTTTGAGGGCATACCGATTCTGGTGGCTGAGATGAGCCATTTACATACAGAAAATGTAGAAAATGTTCCCTGCACCAGATACACCTGCAAATAAATTGAAGGAACCGGCGAAATAGAAATTTTATAATTACACTTATATGTGATATTTTAAATATATAATCATAATATTTATTATTAATAATTGATTTTTTATTTAAAAATTTATTTATAATATTATATATTTATTTAATAATATATTATAATTATAAATTTATAATTTTAAATAATATTAGAACAATAACATCGTTGAATGAAAATACAAAATTCGCCGTCCGACGTACTTGCGGCACCACACATCGACATTCACTCTTGAAATTTCCTTTTCTGTCGTGGAGAGTATACTCGGAGACCCAAAACTGCAGACGGCTAACCTATTGTTTTCATATTAATTCATTTGAACCCTACAGCATGCACCAGGAAAAATGCAGCAAGCATGCAGAAGCTATATACTCAGCAGCAGCACCAACTACAATAGGCCGGTGCATCTTTGTCAAAATGGTCACAAGTCAGCAAAAATGGCTACTCAAGTCCGCAAAAATAGCTAACTCCCAACTGGATTCTGCTTTCATTTATAACCTTAGTTGGATTTTACTTATAAATAGTCATGTTCCCTCTGTTGTATGTGAAAGTTTTATCAGTTAATCGGCAAATCACACCAAAAGAAGAGCAATCCAAAGCAAAGTGAGCTCTAGAAAATACAAGAGTTTTGTGAGTGCTTTGGGTGAGGGTGAGCAAGAGCAGAGTGATTAAAATTACTTTGCTTAGTGTTTGTTGAGTGTGTCTCGCATTCAAAAATACTGTAAGATTTGGGTGTAATTGGGGAGCGGGTATTTTTCTGAGAGTACCACAAATTGTATCTCCTTATTTTAATAGTAAATTTTTCCTTGTGAGTGCCTGTAAGTTTCAATTCTCATCTGCTTTGAGAGAGTTTTTGAGAGTGAATTTTTCTGAATCTATTTTTATATCTTAGGGTTTGTCAATTTAAGTGGTGTTAAAAAATTTATTTCTGTATCTTAGGTCTTATCAACTTAAGTGGTGTTTTAAGCAATCAAATTCATCATAGTAAAATTTTAAATCTTGTCAAAATTAGTGTTTCAATATCGACTCCTACGTCACCTATACTCTTCTTTAATTTTAATATATATTGCTCATCTCAAATGAGTGTAATTATTGTCACCACAAAAAATATGAAGGGTAATTATCATTATTTTTCGGTTAAATAATGTCTAAAATATTAATTTGTTAATTAATTTTAATTTATTGATTAATAAATATTAATTATTTTATTAATTATTAATTATTAATTATTTTATCAATTAAATTAAATAAAATTAATAATTTCAAAAATAATATTTTATAAATTTTAAAATCCTAACACTTTGAGTGATTACGATAACCCTGCCCATCCCACAGGAGCTATCATTGGTATCCTATTTATTCATTTGAGCCCCATGCCCTTCCCTAATGATAATGTGGCAATATAACGACCCCCAAGGCCACAATCCGACCTGTTGTTTTCATATTTAATCCCACAACTTTAGCTTTGTTTGATTAGAAGGCCAATTTCACTTAAAAAGTTTTTATTGAGAAATTAGTTAAAAAAATATTATATAAAAAGTTAATAAGCATTTTACAAAAGAAAAAAAAATTAGAGTAAAGTTTTATTAGGTGGTTAATTTTATTATATTTGATAAAAAAATTAATATAAAAAAGTTTGAAAGAAATATTTTCCCTTCAAGAAGGTTAGGGATTTGAAATTTTATCAAGAAAAATATAAGTTAAAAATACTATATTTACTCTCATTTTATTATAGTATTAACATAATAAAATATATAAATAATCTTGTAACGAAAAAAAAAACCCTAAACTTTAGAGAAAAAAATTTTCTCTCCACCAAACACCCCTTATCCATTGTTGTTAGCGGGATTCCAACCTAGGAGGTTTTTTTTTTTTTTTTAATGTTGGTTGTATTGGAAAACAATCATTTTTCATCCTTTATTTATTTTTACCCGTATATTATACGATTTAAATTTGAAATTTTTTATTTTAAATAGAAAGAGATTATCACTAAATTACTTCCAACTTAAAAGTTGAATCACTTATCTTAATTTATTAAAAATTAAAATATAAAAAATAACTTCGATTAATAATATCCAAAAAAAAAAAAGAAAAAGAAATATCGTCCACACCGACCGAGATCTTGTATCCATTATTGTGACATCGTTTCGTGAAAGACCATCTCAAGTACCAAAATGAAATACTACTAATTACCGAAGCAATGGGCTTAAGCTCACGAGTCATGGGTTTCTGGGCTTCTATTTCAATTAGAAGCATTCAACCGTACGATTCTCATTTAAGCCCATATATTGAAAAAGCCCACTCCAATTCATTAAAAAACTGCAAAAACTACGTCGTATAATTTCCACAAGAAAATCTATTATATAAATAAATAAAATACGATCGAAATCAAACTCAGAGCTCGGCACCTCGGGATGTCCCGGAAATGTTATCTCCGAACAGCTCCGGCGACTTTTGCTTCGCCGCCTCGTAATTCGAAGCAACCGTCTCCTTCGCCGACTCCAACGTCTCCCCAGCCTTGTTCTTTGCCGCATCATACCCTTCTTTCGCTTTGTCCTTGGCCCAATTCAGCTGTTCCGCCGAGTCTCCCTGCCTCTTCCTAATTTCCTCCGCCGCACTGTCTCCCGTTCCCTCACTCATCTTCCCTGCTGCTTCGTTTTTTGCCGTTTCGAAGCCTTCCTTTGCCTTCTCCTTGGCCCAATTCAATTGCTCGGCCGCCTCTTCCTGCTGCGTCCTCATCTTGTCCTTGCCTGCCTGCTTTGCCTCCTCAGCTCTCTCCGATGCTCTGTCCTTTTCCGTACCGATAATATCACTGGCCTTCTCAGTTGCTGCACTACCCATTTCCTTTGCCGATTCTGTCATCTCACTGGTCTTTCCCATTGCTGCATTTGTCATCTCCTTTGTCTTCTCTGTTGCCGCATTCGCCATGTCTCTGGCCTTCTCTGCACTATATTGACCAGCTCCTGCCCATATTTAATCCAACAAATTAACAGTCAAAGAATAGACTTCATCATTGATACTGGTGTAGAGGATCGTGTTTTGCAATCTAAATTATAAGAGTATTTTGCAATTTAAACTATAAAACGATTGAATGGAGACAGCCCCAATAACAAAAGACTTCAAATTATTTAAATTGTACAATCTAGACTGTGCAATTGTTTTTGTATTGGGGTGTATGTATGGTAGTAAATACGAACCAGAAGCAGTGTCCTTGATAGTGTCTTTGGTTTTGGTAGCAGCATGAGCGGCTGAATCGGAAGCTCTAGAAGCGGCGTCCTTGATAATGTCTTTGGTCTTGGTAGCAGTGTCGCCTGCAAAATCAGAAGCTTTCTTCGCCGTCTGAGCTGCCGAGTCGGATGCTTTAGAAGCGGCATCCTGGATGACATCTTTGGTCATTTTAGCCGTCTCAGCAGGAGAATCGGAAGCTTTCTTCCCTGTCTGAGCTGCTGAATCTGAAGCAGACTTAGCAGTATGAGCGGCGGACTCGTAAGTTTTCTTGGCGGCATCTGTTACAACATCCTCGTGCTTGAGGCCTAGTCCTTCGGAGATCTTCTCCTTAGCCCATTCAGCCCACGATTCTGCAGCTTCTTTT